CTTTAAAATTCAGCTTATTTACATTTTTTTACAAAAAATCGGAGAATGCGTAGAATGTTATAAATGTAAAATATATTTTTTATGTAAAACAATTTAGAGATACACAGGTTATTACACTTTAAATAAAAACATGAAGGTTCGGCTACACAAAAATGCTTATTACTTTTTATTTAAGCTATGAGCTATTTACATTTATTTTTATAAATTACAGTGGATTTGATTTTCCAATTCAAAAAAATATTTTTTCTGCAATTTTAAAGTACACTATTTAAAAATTATTCTCACTCAACTGGAAGTAAGCGCCAAAAATATAAAGAAGAGTAGAGACCAAGTAAATAACTTCTAGAGCATTAGTAATATAAATTAATTAATTAAAATATAATATAAGTTCTCATGGATTGTCATTCCCCAGCCGTATTTAACGCCGTTTTATAAATTTAATTAAATTGAATATTTAAATTCTAATTAAAAAAAAAATTAAAAAAAAACGAATTCATTCTGTTTACAAGGAAATACAAGTTAAGATACCCAAGTCCACGCTAACAAAGCTGGAAGAAAAGACACTTGTGCTTGCTAAGGAAACAAAATATTTAGGAGTAATTCTGGACCCGAAGCTTTCCTGGAAAAGGAACACGGAGGAGACGATAATCAAGGGGATAAGTGAATTCTATGCATGTAACAAACTGTTTGAAAGAAGATGGGATCTGCAACCGTATATTATACACAGGATGTACACTGCTGTAGTTAGATCATCCATCACCTATGGAGCACTAGTATGGTGGAAACTGATACTTAAAGAGACTAATAGAAAAAGCCTCACAAAAGTACAGCGATTAGCAGCTCTCAAGGAACGACACAGCGCAAACTGCGCTAGAAGTAATTCTAGACTTACAATCAATCGACTGGCTCGTGAAGGATCTGGCCGCTAAGGGTGCCCTAAGATTAAGGGAATCCAATGTGTGGAACCAGATCAACTACGGTCACTCGAGAATATTGCCAGTGATCCGAAGGAAAATCATGGCGAACACGAGTCCACATCTACTAGATCAGAAAACGGACTATATGCTCACCAAACATGATTTTGGAGAAAAGATAAAGATAAGAAATGAAGAACGGGAAAGCAACCGAGTAATGGTATTCAGGAGGCACCGTATATATTTTAAGAGGCACAGGTATAGACATCTTCTCAGAGGAACTCCGACAATCTTTAAAGCTATCGGATGGCTATAATATTCTACAAGCAGAAATATACGCTATCGGGGAAGCGGCCAGCTGTATATGAGAGAAAATCACTGATAGACCAATAGCAGATATGGTGACATACTCTGACAGCTTGCGCGCTATAAGAAGCATCATAGGAACTACCATCAAAGCCAAGCAACGAGAGACGTGGCAACGTCGTAGGGACTGCGCTACAGCTCGAAGAGTATTGCCAGTGGTAGATAATGAAACGACAAAAAAACTACTAGAGCACAAAAAGAACCTATTACGCATAACTGTATGTGTCATGACTGGAAATTACCCCATGGGGGTAAACATCTTGAGATGGAAAGTTTCCAATGACGACCACTGCAGAGAAACCAAAGAAAAAAAACATAGAGCATCTGCTGTGCCACTGTCCAGCACTGGAATACCGACGCTTTAAAACTTTAGAGCAAGGTTTTTTGAAGGAACTAGAAAAATCAGCAGAAGTCAACATCAGCAATGCTTGGTACAATAATACAGGGGTATTGCAATGAGCCCAAAGCTTCCGACTAAGGGATCAAATATGATCCCAAAACCCAGCAACCTCACCTAACTTAAATTCTAATAAGACCTACTTTTTTTCAAACGTCAGAAAAATATTGTTTTTTTTTGCGACGTGGGTAGGTAAGGCCTAGGTTGCATAGTAAAGTAGTAGGCACTAAATACTAGTAGGTATAAAATTAAAGCACTTTTACGCTAAAAGTAGGAAAATATAGTATTAAACTAACATATAATATCAAATTCAACGAGTGTAAGCGATATATAATATATTAATATATTCGTTTCTTGATATATAATTACTTACAAGGTACTAGTTTTAAATATTTTTATATTATTTGCAACGCTTGAAATTGTTTGTGAAAACAGTCCGAAAAATTTGGTATTTTTTTAAATTTATATGCAAAGAGGTAAGATTTAGGCTACTTTCCCTTAATTATAATTACGTATTATTACTAATATACCGTATGATCGAAAAAATAACATTGCTCAGTTGGCTCGCAAATGACGATCGATGACATTCCTCATACAATTTTCCATTTTTCATTTTTTTTTCGTATTATTAATACGTTATTTGTAGTATTTTATTTATTTTAACAAAGTCATTGGTGATTTTATTTTCAATAACTAAAAAACAATGAAATATTTTATTTAAACGTAAAATAATTTTATTTGATGTTTAAAATACAAAATAAAATTTTGTTATGTGCAATGTGGCTTTGTTTTAAAAATGGACATTATTCGTATTCCAGAGTTACAATAAAATTTTATATTATCAGTTAAAAATTTTTATTACTTTTACAGATGGTGTCAAAATTCTGTTATAAAATCTGTATTAATAAACCTCAGATAATTTTGATATCATTTTCCGTTTAGAAAATTGGGTCCGTTAGGTGTATCATCAAGACAGATTTTAGTGAATAAACTTATAAACATGGTAAACAGCCCATTATTACCAAGTTATTCTGATTAGACAGTATATCATTAAACATTTAAATAGGTAAATAAATGTCAGTTATGCTCAGGCAAACTCAGTAATTAATCGATTACACGTTTAGTGCACGGTTGATTTTTATACTTATTTTTAAATTTTCTAATTAAGATGTTTTAGGACATTAATGTTTTAAAAGGATTGCAACAATACATCTAGTAACTCTTAATAATTATAATTCCTTCAGGAAAACATATACAACAACGAAAGTTTTTGTTTGTTATTTTAATTTTTATTATTAGTATAATCTCACTTATTATTTTTTTTGGGTGTTGTCTGTCTGCGGCTTTACATCTAACTACTACATATAATCACCATACTGTTACATTCGTTATTCGTCAGTGGAGGGTTACATTATATTTAAATTTAAATAATATAAGTACATCAAATCTCCTTGTTGTCTTGTAATAAGCTATTAAGATATAATATAATATCCAATCTATAATATAATATTTATTTTAAATTACATAGGTACATGGTGAGTGATGGTATTATCTCCCTGGATAACGTGTTGATGTCGTAGGCTCTTTCGTAGGAACTACGATGGTATGGTGTTCTCTCCACGGACCCGGAAGCATGATCGGGGGTACTGCCAGCACACTGAACGTGAGCAAGGTGAAGGTCGCGAAATATCTGTGACACATATACATATAACATAAACAAAACTTATATGATTATAGTCATAATACTTCGGGTTTGTTCTCTATAGCAAAACAATGAAGAATCTCTGTATATATTTTTTTTAATCCGAATGTTACATGTTGGAAGTTTATATCTCTTAAACTTGTTTCCCAATGTATGGAAAAGAAAAAAACATACTGCAGAAACATACATGAAAAATGTGATTGTATTATGTATGTCAAATTGTAATACGGAACATTTGGAAGATAATACTAATACAGTAAACTGTATACGTTGAGATAATATCTAGTACATTTATCTAAGATAAATAACAAAATAGAGACTATCAAAACAAACAGATTCAAGAAACTTACCGATCTTCGCCAATACTGGCGCAAAAATCTCCGTAAATCTCCAATATGTCCAAAACCCTATAATGAACGGCCTCTCCACTCGATGAAACGACACCGATATCACCGGATTCCTCTATACCTTCTTCTTCTGAACCGTCTCATCAGTACCAACGACTTCCTCCTCACTCTCAGTACTTCCCACTGTGCTGGGCACATCACTCCTCACCGGATACCGTCCAGGCGGTGTGGGTATTATCCCTCTGGATAACGAGTTGATATCGTAGGCTCTTTCGTAGGGACCACCATGGGATGGTATTCTCTCCACGTACCCGGAGGCATGATCGTGGGGCAGTGCTAGCACACCGAACGTAAGCAAGATGAAGATCGCGAATCTGCACGCTCTGCGTGATAACTTGATGCCGGGCTCCAACGAATACGTAGATCATCATTAACACAGATAAGGCTCACTAGCGACGAAAGCGTTGCTCTACGAGCTCCGCGACTGTCATAGCGGCGGATGAAGATTGAGTTTTCAAGAACAGATACTTAAGATATTCCATTAGTTTTCCAGAAAAAAATACAATAGCACATAGTTCGGCAGTACTTGCACTATTTAGACACTTATTATTTTAATGGATAAGTGGGGTTTAAACCATTTCAGTGACACTAAAAATATATTTAATGTTTTTAATATACTGGATGATACACAAAATAATAATTGATTAAAAAAAACTAAGAAGAACTTACCTGTAACAAAACTTTTAATAACGCCCGATGTTCAAATACTTTTAATTCAAAGAAAAAAATAAAATAAAAGTTAAAAACATAAGTAACAAAAAGGAATACTATCAACAACACTACCATCAAAACTAAGTTATTGCCACATCACTACTCTAATTACAACAAGTTGGGTACTAAATGAATTAAAGTAACAAGAAAAATATATATGAGCCCCAAACATAAACAAAACTTCTATGATTATAGTCATAATATTTCAGGTTTGTTCTCTATATCAGAACAATCAAGAATCTCTGTAGCAGTATATACTTTTTTATCCAAATATTACCATATTGGAAGTTTGTGTCTCTTAAACTTGTTGTCCAATGTGTGGAAAAGAAAAAAAATATACTGCAGAAATATAAATGAAAAATTATGTATGTCAATTTGTAAAATCGAACATTTAGAAAATAATACTAATACCAGTAAACTTTATAAGTTAAGATAAAATCTAGGACATTTATCTAAGATAAATAATAAAAGAGAGACTATCAAAACAGGTTCACGAAACTTACCGATCTTCGCCAAACTAGCGCAAAATATCCACAACCCTATAATGAACGGCGTCTCCACTCGATGAAACGATACTGAAATCACCGGATACCTCTCCACCTTCTTCTTCTGGACCGTCTCATCAGTACTACCGACCTCTTCTTCACCTTCAGTACTTCCCATCGTGCTGGGCACCTCACTCCTCACTGGATACCGTCCAGGAGGTGTGGGTATTATCCCCCTGGATAACGAGTTGATGTCGTAGGCCCTTTCGTAGGGACCACCATGAGATGGTATTCTCTCCACGGACCCGGAGGCATGATCGGGGGGCACTGCCAGCACCCCGAAGGTGAGCAGGGTGAAGATCGCGAACCTGCACGCTCTGCGAGATAGGTTGACGCCGTGCTCCAACGAATGCATCACCACCACGGACGGCGCTCACTAGCCACGAAGGCCCTGCAGGAGCTGGGCGACTGCCATAGCGTCGGAGGCGTCGGGAATGGACGACGGCAACGACGCCCGTTGCTCGAAGACGCCCGGCAGACTGGGCGCCGACCACAGCTGACGCGGCGTCGCTGGGCAGGGGCGCAGGCGTCGGTCGGTGGGCAGAGGGCGCTGCAGGGGGTGGAAGGGCGCGCGTGCCAAGGTGAAGGGACGAGGGTTTCAGAGGAGGGTTGGAAGTCGCCGGACCCCTGGATGGAATTCTGCAAATTGTTAAACGGGTAGGAAAATTATTTTGGAAATTTTGAAATATTATGTTTATTAAATAACAGAAACTGCTGCGGACATCTATCACAGACCTATTTAGGTTTAATTTTTCCATATCATACTGCAAGCTTGGTATGAATCGTTTATGGAATAAGATTTACCCAATTACCTGTACGATATCGTTATTTTTTTTAAGAGGTATTTTCAAATTTGATTAAAATAGAAACATGTTTTCAGTATCGAAAACATATTCGAATATCCTGTAGTTTATAAAGAAGTAATTCTCTAATAATCTCTAAAATGTTTCTCATCAGTGCTATTTTGTCGAAAAATACTTTTTTAAAATCATTGCAGAATCTAATCACCTTTAAGTCTAGAATATCTTGAATACCTATAAATCAAAATGTTGAAATTTTTATGAAAATTTGAAACTCCCTGTGGAGTAAGTTAACACAGCATGGAATTTAAAAATTATTTTATCATCTAGATGTATCTTTTCTCGATATTTTGTTTATTGATCCATCTAAATAGCATTATAATTTTTGGAGATATTCGGTTTTGAAAGAGACACTAATATGTTTTTCGTATTTTTACATTAAAACTATGCCTTTACTTTTGGTTCTAGTCAACAGATCTGTAAAATAGTGTTTATGATTTATATAATGTCACTGTCTTTGAAAGATCATATTATTATTATCTGTTAGACAATTACTCTAGCAGATATGGTTTTTAGTCCAAAAGTTGATCTCTACCATGATCAATAAAATATCAATAGCCGATACTTCAGAATTTAAAACCATCTCTAGTAGAGTAAACGTTAATAAACAATAATAATATGACTTTTCAATGACAGTGAAATTACAAAAATAATTAACACTAATTTATAAGTGTGTCGGTGAAAACCCAAAATCAATGCTAAAAAATCTGTAAATTGTTGCTGTCTTATTCAAAAGCGAATACTTCTAATAAAAATTAAGCTATTAAGACGAACCAAAAAACAAACTTTCGAGAAAAGACATATCTATATGATAAAATAATTTTTAAATTTCTTGCTTTGTTAACATATTCCACAGGGTGGTTTTTCACTAACAACTTACACCAAAATATCAACATTTTGTTTTCCTCGTATAATTGACAGATGGGAACTTTATTTTTAATTTAAAAAAAGATACTAAAAGGTCAAATAATTTAACTACAAATTGTTTAAAAAATTATCAAAATCAGCCTACTAGAACAAAATATATTAGGCTATAAAATATATCAATATTTTAAGGTGCCCGTTTTTCATGCCGGTGAATGTAGTATCTACTTTAAAGATTTGCTTCTTCTGTTAGAGTGTCTCTGATTAGAGGCCATCAGATGTTCCTGATTGTATGCCTGTAACAAAGGTTTTGAAACACTACAAATAGATTTAGAATACATGTGATGATCACGAACATCTGCTGTCCTCTATTCGGAGACACTATAATAGGAGAAGCAGGACTGAATTGTAGTATACTCTGGCAGTAACAGTGAAATTTCATCATTGTTAAACTTATTTTTGTTGTCACAAGGTATCATGTTTTGGCCAAATTTCCCAGCTTTTTTTGTTACCATGAATCCCACGATTACTTTAGAACCCAGACTAGATTTTCATTAATTCATCTGCCACTGTTATTTTTCTAGACAATTTATAGAGTGTATTTTGTAGGACAATAGTAATCATCAACATCATCATCATTTTCAGCTTGTTCAAACATTTTCAATTATGGTGTAGCTTCACTCACATATTTAGATACTCTCTTTGTAGTTGGGCTCTTTTGTTTGAAGTTGTCTGTTGCTAATCTGTTGTCCGTCCTTTCTACCAGGTGTCCTTGATACTTGTCCACTTAGATTTGACTCTGTGGGTGACATCTATTACCTGGGAAATACACTTATTCCACTTCTTTCCACTAGATTATTCTACATTATTTTAATTTTTGTTCAATTTATTTTGAGACCCACTTTAATGCTGGCTGCATTTAGTTCATTAATTTGTGCTTGTAGTCCTTCAGGACTATTGGCAATTAGGATTATGTCATCAGCGAATCTTAGATAGTTAAGAGATTCTCCATCTATTTTTAATCTTTTGTTGGTCTAGTCCAGTTTATGGAAGAGTTCTTCTAGTTTTGCTGTAAACAGCTTTGAAGATATCGCGTCTCCCTGTCGCGTCGTATGTACTCCTTTGCCAGTTGAGAACTCTGGGGTTGTTTTATATATCATTATTCTTAATACTCTTGCTTTGGCTTCTTCGCATATATTTTACGATAGTTTCTATATAAGGCCTGTCAATACCTTGTTACGCTTGGGCTTCTATTAGGCCAAATATACAGGGTGTTACAAATTCGAGGTACGAGCATTGGTATCTCGGAAACCGTAAGAGATACGAACATGGTTAAATTGGGGCAAAGTTGCGCTTTGGGATGCTCACCAAGTTGCCATCAAAAAAGTTTTAAAACTTTCAAGGATTGCTGAGTTTTTTGGAAAAACAGATTTTTTTGAAAATTAATTTTATTTTTAGGTGCCCGGTGGCGTAGAGGTACAGGCTCTCGTCTACCAATCTCAAGGTGTGGGTTCGATTTCCACACCCGGCATTTCATCAGCCGACTATTTTTATTAAAATAAAAATAGTTTGGGTACCTAGGTCGACTCAGCCTTAAATGAGTACTTGGGATTCACAATCCTGAGGTAATAATAGGCGGTTGAAGCGTAGTGCTAGCCACATTACCTTCCTTGTATACCGAACGGTTCTAGTATAGCAAGCTGTACCTTGCTACTCCCAAGGCGTTAAACGCTATATACGGGAGCTATTATTATTATTATTATTTTATTTCTTTCTGTCGTTACTGTTTAGAAAATCAAAAAACTAATTGTACATTCTCATAGTCACTTTATTAGGGCTATCTGATAGTGTTTTTAGATTTTCAAATTAGCTGATAATTTGTGAGATACAGAGGTCAACTTAATTTTTTTAAATACGGACCTGAATTTTTTATTTCAGATTTTGAAAGAACTCGGTCTCCTGAGTACAATGATATGTCACACTCAATTTTTTTTTCGTTTCGGACATTTAAACACAATTTAATTAAACTAATTTCAAGTCCGGCTCTGTATTTTTTTAATTTAATGTATTCATCGTTACAATATTGATAAGCTTTCAAACTTAAAAATTACGTGGGGTAAAACATTGAATACAGAAAATCAAATGCAATAAAATAATATAAAATTATTGGGCATTACTTGACGTCATTTTTAAAAGTGAAATCAAGACATTTCAACATTTACAATAAGGAGTACAGAATGCATTCGGAAGTATAGGAAGAAGATATGTTCAAAGAGCTATAAATAAAATTGAACGAAAATGCATTGTGCATTAGGGACGGTGGTAACATGTAGAGCATTAGAAACTAGTTTGTAGAAGTTGATTTATTAATAATAACTACGATTAATATTATGCAAATTATGTACACTGAGATTTCAAATTCACAATAAAAAAGTTAAAAATAATATTTTTAAATTACTGACTCTGGATATTATTTATTTGAATCTTTCAATTGGTTCAATTTTCCTTATTCAATGTTAATTAGCGCTGATCCATATTGTTGCGGTGAATATAATCAGATTAAATAATTTAAAAAACCAAGAGTCGGACTTGAAATTATTTTAAATAATAATTAAATAGATTTGTTATTGTTAAGGTACCTAAAACAAAAAAAGTATCAAGTGTGGTACATCATTGTACTCAGGAGACAGAGTTCTTTCAAAACTTCAAATAAAAAATGCAGGTCCGGATTTAAAAAAATTAAGTTGGCCTCTGTATCTCACAAATTATCAGCTAATTTGAAAATATAAAAATACTATCAGACAGCCCTAATAAAGTAGCAATGAGAATGTGCAATTAGTTTTTTGATTCTCTAAAAAGTAACGCCAGGAAAAAATAAAATTGATTTTCAAAAAAATCCGTTTTTTTTTTCAGAAAACTCAGCAATCCTTGAAATTTTTAAAACTTTTTTGATGGCATCTTGGTGAACATCCTAAAGCGCAACTTTGCCCCAATTTAACTATCTTCGTATCTCTTACGGTTTCCGAGATACCAATGCTCGTACCTCGAATTTGTAGCACCCTGTATATAGTAATAAAATCATATTTATTGTGTATTGAAGTTTTGAGAAATCAAATTAAAATTAAATCTATCGATTTTTAAATAACACTGACAAACTTCATTTTTGTATAACGGTATATTTTATGAAAAAAATACTCTATTATATTCTGTTTTACGCTATAATAATATTATTCTACGCCCTGTACGTATAACACAATTTCAATTAAAAGCCATAGTGCACTAATATCTACAATACTTACACCACATCGAACAGGAAAATCGTATTTCTAAATTCTCACTAATATACACACTTTTTTTGGTTCTGATTTATATTATTCCTCTCTTTTTTTCTAGAAACGACAGAAGTGATAAATATAATCACAGTGTGCAAAATTAAACACTCAAAATTATAAAAAATAAAATTTGTTGCATCTTTAAAAAAAATTGTTTTTCAATTGATTTAAACAAGTTTTCTTCAAATATCGCTGAATAATTTTTTTATATTTATCGATATAGTAAACCGAGTTTTGTTAGCTAATTAGTTTATTTTTTTTATTCAAAAAAGTCACGGTGTATTTCAAAATGATTAAGTTTGTAAATGCTACTTCATTTTAGACAAATTTAAGTTTGATTACATTACATTTACTCATATCTCTCAAATCTTTATTTATTTTTTTTATCTATATTATATTTGCACGTGAATTAAATCAATGGTCATAACTTGATTGTTCCAGTGTAAAACATAATACTATTTATTTATAAATTATTATATAAATACAATTAATATTAACTTGATACTTTATAAATAGGAAATTTTTAACAGTGTTAATTATAATAACGGAAATGTTTATACAGGGTGTTTGTTCTAATTCTTTAATTTCTTTTCTCGAATTTCAATTCTAATTTATGTCAGTATATGACATTAACTAGAATTGATTGACGTATTCAATAATTATTGTTTTTGGTCACTTCCTGTTTCTCCATAAATGATTATAACTTTTGATTTTTAAATGGCTCCCTCAGTATATTTCTATTTTATTCGATAGAAAATTACATTCTGAATAGTATGACATATCATATGTCAAGTTGTGACATTTTCGCATATGGTTTATTTGAAATAAAAGCATGCGGTTCATCATCCATTATTGTTCATCTATTGAATTAGAATCTTTCAGCACCTTAATATTGCCATAAAAGTACGACAATTTGACTCGAAGTACCAAGTGTGTGGTATCAAATTATTCGTAAAAAAATACTTTTTCCAAATAAGATAATGAGCCAATCTTATTCCGTTTCAAAAAAAAAAATATTATTAAAAATACGATTTGGGAACCATCCAGGACACGACACGAAGAACATTAGACGATCAAAACTATTTTTCCAAGGAAATTAGTGTTTTTAATACATCCATGGCACTTTATATTGAAATTTAAAATACGATTTCCTTTATACGAAAATAGGGGTGAGCCGCTTTCGAGACGCACCTGGTATAGAAGGCTGTACGTAAACTTGGGAATCGACAAAGTAAAGAAAACTATAGAGTATAAAAGCGTCATATAAACAAACTAAACTAATTTCGGTGTCTATTTTTAGTTGTATACTTCTTATTTTACTCCAGTTTTAAAAATAGCATAAATCTAGGAGATTAAATTTTTGTACGTATACGAATATATTTGACTCAGGCAGAAAGGAGTTTAAAGAAATATTCCTTGAGCAAATTATTTTTAAATTAATTTCACTTAAAACGGTAATAAAAATGGATTTAATGAGTACCTGTATATTGGCTAGTTTCAATCCGATTGAGCAGATCATACTCACTTCAATCCATCAGAAATAATGATATGCCCGACGGCGATTGGATATCTCTTTTTGATAGGATTAAACTTATTCAAGCGGATGCAAACATAATATCATTTAAACATAACGACAATTTGATTCGATTTTAAAAAAACTTACTAAAAATTAACGGATACATAGGATAGGATCGACTTAGAATGACATTTAAAAATCAACCTTCTAACTAAATTTCGTTCTAGTTTTTTTTTGATTTATAGTTATTTTCACCAAAAATCTAGTTTTATTTTATCATTTTCTTATATAAAATGGACAACAGTCAAAAGGTGACACTCGTATATCAAAAAATACTAAAAATTTCACTATAATATCTGTTTCATCCGCGGTTTCATCTTTTACATTTATCTTTGATTTTATACATTCCATCCTTATCTGATATTGAGAAATTGAAAGAACAAACCTTAAGATGTACTAGAAAAATAGAGAAACACCCGGAATTGAACAAAAAGTGTTTCAAGCCGATCGACTGAAGTTGCTTATACTATTCACGTAATCAATGATAGATAACAACCAAAAATAATATATGGACGTATGAAAGTAAAACGAAAGTAAGCTAATTTTTGTAGGTATACTTATTTTTTGAAATACTCGTAACTCCAAAAGGAAATAAAAAATGCATAAATTGGGTTGACACAAGCTGTTTCAACCATTTAGAGTTATTATATTTTGCAATTAATTTATAAATAAACTAGCGTGTACCCGCGACTTCGTTCGCGTCGAATTAATCATTTGTAATGGTGATGATAAAGCAAAGCAAGAATTTCCATTAACATACAAACTGGATAAAATTTTCTCACATTTATGTCAGCATGAGAAAAAACAATATGACGATGTTATTATATAACTTGATAATATTTGAGGGGTAGTTTCATCTCGTTGGAATTTGACTTTCGAAAAATCCGTTTGCCAAAAATAAGCTTTTTACGTCAAGCAGTTTAAGCAGAATCGTGGTTATATTATATATATATATATATATATATATATATATATATATATATATATATATATATATATATATATATATATATATATATATATATATATATATCGTGGTACCCAACTTTTTGGAACACACTATAATTTTTTAAAAAATTTCAAAATATGTAAAGGAACAAAATAAATTATGCGTGTCCAAGCGTTTTCCCGAAAAACTAACCGTTTTTTAAATAACAAATATTGTAATATTCAATTGAGGGGCGCTTTCACCCTCTTGGAATTTGAGATGCAAGAAACCCTCCTTGTCGAACCTCTACACCCCACAGTCAATCCGTTTGCCAAAAATCAGCTTAAACGTCAAGCAGTTTAAGCAGAATCGTGATTACTCAATGGTCATATTTTATGAAACACCCTGTGTAAATTTTTAAAAAAGTCTTAAAATATGTAAAACAACAAAATAAAATATACGTGTTTAAGAGTTTTTCCGAAAAACTCACCGGTTTTTAAATAAAAAATATTCTAATATTTAAGGGGTGGTTTCACCCTTTTAGAATTCGAGTTTCAAAAAATTCCTTCTTATCGAACCTCTACACCCTAAAGTTAATCCGTTTTCCAAAAATCAGCTTTTTACGTCAAACGCTTTAAGCAGGATCGTGATTAATCAATGACCAGATTTTTCGAAACACCCTGTATACATTTTTAAAAAATCTTAATAATATAAAAAAAGCAAAATAAAATATAAGTGTTTAAGCGATTTTACGGAAACTTGACCGTTTTTTAAATAAAAAATATTGTAATATTTGAGGGGATAAAACCACACCCCCTTGGACTGCAATTTCGAAAAATCCCTTCTTATCGAACCTCTACACCCTAGAATCAACCTGTATGTCAAAATTGAGCTTCTTACGTTGAGTGGTTTGAGGAGGATCGTGATTAATCAGTGAGTCAGTCACTTAAGGATTTTATATATTTATGTTATTAGTATAGATATTTGTCCAATCGTATGTTATTATTCTAAAGATATACCACCTATAATACTACCACTAATTTTTACGTTTTAAATGCTTACATTGAAATTATAGAAACAAACTTCTACGCTAACTGAAACCAGTAATTTATCCCACTAATTTTTAGGGTATCTACGAGGCTCAATCCTAGTGTGGTTATGAAGAAAATAGTATACAGAGACAAGTTTTCATTACGGTCTCTAGATTTATTTTAATCTCTCTGGACAATAATAAAATATTTTTCTACTTGGTATGTTTTATATAATTTTCTCTAAATATACTTTCAATTTTATATCAAATATCTCTGTTCTCTTCACTCCTTCACTCTACGTGAGAGTATGGTAACATCATGTGTTGATTCCCCTCACTTTCTCGAACCAAGTTGTTCGACACTGCGCCATATGTGAAGCTTCGGGGAGGTTGTATCAAATATATATACAGCTAAATACTTAATTTTAACTCTGTTATTTTAATTTAATCTATAGATACAACTGTTAATACTAATATTTAGACAAGATACCTTAAACAGATAGCTACAATCTACAATCGACTAAATCCAGTTAATCACTTAATGCGACAGGTGAGTACACAAAACAATTATTTTCCGCAACAGTGGACACTGGACGTCAGACGACATCATCAGTGTGTGCGTTTGAAGTAGTTTGCAAACATTTACGTAGTCGATTACGCTACCAATTAGAGGAAAGAGAGCACAGTTCCACCTGATGGGCAGGGAAAACAAACCGCTGTTTTGCATAAAATTTAAGCGCGTTAAATTATATGTTGTAAAAATCATTCATATACCGTATGATCGAAAAAACAGCGTCAGCGATGGCTATGAAATGAAGATCGCTGTCATTTTATATGTCAATTTATATGAGAACTGTCATTTCGTCATTTCATAGCCATCGCTGACGCCGTTTTTATTCGATCATGCGGTATAAATAAAGTAAACATATAAAGAATACAGTTCAAATTAATTTCTTTGGTCTAAGACCTTCGGTGATTGATTCTGCAGATAAAAATAAGACAAAAGGTTCCTATGAACGTATGCACTAAAATGCTTCCCACAAAAGTTACTTTGCCAAACATGCTTATTACTAAAGTACAAACGATATAATTATAACTAGCATAAGTATTAGTCAAATACAAACAAAAATGAAATTACAAACATATTACAGAAATCAATAGTATTAACAATATACAGTTAAAACAAATACATCAATCTTACAATATAGTACTAATAAAATTATTAAATCACTACGTTGTCATCAAATCTTCTTATATTTTACAATATTTCCACTAAAAAGGAATCCTTTTGTAGCAATTCCATACAATCTAAAGAATCTAAGGTTTTCATCTAGTCTTTTTTTGAAGGCTTCATATTCTCGACTGCTTTCTGCTTCTCTCTCTTCAGTCCTTCACTCTACGTGAGAGTATGGTGACATCATGTGTTGATTCCCCTCACTTCCTCGGACCAAGTTGTTCGACACTGCGCCATATGTGAAGCTTCGGGGAGGTTGTGGCCCACTAGAGTTTTGACT